CTTAGTTTTTCTTAAATACTTGTATATAATTGAGCACTACTTCTAATAATATTTCTATAAGGTAAAATTCCAGAAATTAAATTTTTTGGGCATATGCATTCAATGTACTAAAAACTACCATGAAATATTCCACCTAAATATTTTTTAAAATATGTTGCATGCTCATAACATAGCCCACAAAGACAATGTTCTATATCCTACTTTGGTGAGTAGCGTCTGGGATCTTAAAAGCTCATGAGCAGTTACTAAGGTACAACTATTGGTCTCCTCATGTGAGGAAGAAAGAAAAGTGATGAAAATTGAAGATGCCTGAAATCAATTAGTCCCAGGGACTAATGGAACAGGTGATGATCAGTGTCCACAATTCGGAGACCAGAAGTACTAGATAGTACCGGCTATCATACCAAGTCCCCAGAAAGGGATCATACTAGAAGATCCCAGATAGAGAAAATGTGGAACAAAACTCAAAGTCATTTTTAAAAAAAAGAAAGGAAAAAGACAGGGCTTACTGGTCAAAAGGCTGGAAGAACCCTACTATGGTCCTTGACCACCCTTCAGATCTGGAAAAGAACTTACTCTAGTGGCCCATTTTCTGCCAAGCAACAGACAGGTCTATAGGGGAACAACAACACTAGTAATGTCTGCTCACCATGGAATGAATGGTCAATCATTCAAAATCAAAAGGGCAACATTTACCTCAGGACAAAGTTGAGAAAGGATAGGAAGTTAAGTGGAATGAAAACAGGAACCACAGGGAGGAAGTGGAATAACTGTTGTTGCATGGAGACGATTGCAATCTTAGAAATTAAACAAAGTAAAAAAAAAAAAATAGGCTGCAAACATTTTTCTTCATTAGGAAACATGAAAGCAGAAAATATATTTAAATTAATAGGCACATTAACTCTATAGACAAAAGAATGATATAATGACTAAAATGACGAATCTATTAGTCTATGTTGTTGTTAAGTACCATGGAGTCGGTTCCGACTCATAGAGACCCTGTACAGGATTTCCGGGGCTGTAAATCTTTACGGGAGCAGAATGCCTCATCTTTCTCCCACAGATCAGCTGGTAGTTTCGATCTGCTGACCTTGAGGGTTAGCAGCCCGATTCGTAACC